CGGAGGGGGTGGAATACCACCTGGGCTACCCTTCCAGGTGGGCTATCGAGAAGCCGGCCAAGAGTACACGCTCTACCTTCTCGCCGCCCGCGAGCAGGACCGCGCCGAGTGGATTCGTGCCATCCGTGCTGGTAAGTCGTTTTTTTCCCCTTTTCGTTTTATTCTATATTCTCCTCTTCTACCACCTCTTTTTATGCTTTGCTGATCCGATCTTGCGTCGAGTGTTCTTCTGCGATTTTTCTCCCTTTTTATCAGCCCTTTTTCTTCGACTTTATGTTTGCGACCGTTTAAACGCGAATTTTTTCTATGTATTTTGTCATTGGCGCGATCGACGCGTCCAACATTCGATTCTAAAGTACGCTTCGATCTTTTGCTATCGGACCTGGCTATATTCTTAGGCAAGGTTCTCGGGTTTAGTCGAAACTCTGCGCGCTTACAGATATTTTTTCAGATATGAATATTATTTTCACCGAAGCCTGTGGAGAATCCTGATAGAATCTAAGGAGAGCCTAGAATCTGTGCTTTTCGAATGCTTAAGGGTTTGCAGATTTGGGAATCCAATAGTTCGAAATGTGTATAAAATTGTAATGAATAAATAAATTCGTAAGTTGAAATTCATCATAGCCAGATTTATCGTTAGCTTAGGAGGGCTGTAGAAAGTTAGCGAGGATCGCGGGAACGTGTCTCCTTTGTAATCCCTTGTTTGTTGATCCAAGTTTTACCGTCGAAGCGACGCGACGTTACACGCGCTGACGTAAGAAATTACGTTACTCGAACGTAAAGCGTTGAAGGAAGGATCGTGCGAAAGTTTGCATTAAAATTACGCTACAAAGCAGCAAGTTCCGGCGGGTGTACATCTTTTGTTCATGATACGCGCTACCTCGAACCTCTATTCATCAACTTCGGAGACGTATATAGGTTGCGATTTAACTATGGTGGTTGGTATTTACCTGTTCTCTAAGACAATAAATAGCTGATATAATGGAGACGAAAACTATGTGCTCTTGCGCAACGGTGACAAATATTTCGCCGAGTATAAATGATCGTGACAGAGACGTTCATTCGTCTAACGAGAAAACGGGCTTTCAATTACTTCGCTTCAATTCGTCCCAAGCGGCAGATAATCTTCAGGATAGCTTCTTGCGACGGATTTTGGTAAGAAAGTCCGCGCACCGATCAATTACTTTTTATCTCCCCATGCATCTTCGAGTTCCTGCGAAATCTCGAATATAAATTTCGCCCGATTCGTTCGCGATAATTTCTCGGCCAAAAATGTGCACGTCAAAGCTCGCGGAGAAACTTACGGATTCTCAAGGATCATCGAAATTGATTCGTACGCGAAAAGCAGCAGCGACGGAAATCGTAAAAATTGATCGGGGATATCCGCTGACGCATCTGAATTTCAGTCTGCCAGTGATTGATTTGTCGTTGCTGGGGATACTTGAACTTTTAACGAGTTTTCTCAACAATCTCATCCAGAGGAAGGGTTCGTTATTATTCGTGGCCGTGCACTACGGGAAATCGAATCTTCAACTTTCTCGCCGAACACGAGTCGGCTCGGCCGTTCAATATCCATCAAGCTTATTTCGCATTATATAAATGCATCAACTTTCGGATGGAAGAATTTTCCTCCCTTTCTTATGGATATTTTTCGTCCTCAAGGCTACGTTGGTATTCAAATTTCTCGGACGCGTTTTTCTCGATATCACTTCCGGGTAAAGTTTCTGTTCTCGGCTCGGGATGATTTTCTTTTAGCTCCGTTTATATACGCGGAACAGGTGTTACTCGAAACGTTTCTATCGCATTCGTTCGATCCTTTTTTGTTTGGGAAATCGTTTTCCTTCCCGAAGCGGTGTTTCAGACTTTTGTTGACGTTCCGTTGTATCCTTTATTTGCTTCTTCCAGTTGCTACATTCGACATGGAATTAAAAAGGACGGTGAAAAAGTCAAATCTTTTAATACGAATTTAAAATAAGTAATAAATAATTCTATTTTTCGGTTACTAATTTTTTGCCACCCTTTTCAAACTGTGTCTTTCGACGTTCATTCAAGAAAAGTCCCTATCTTCGACACATTCTCTGCTTCGTCGGCGGAACATTAATCATTCGTGCTTTTTGAAAGTTGAACGATTTATACCTGCCCCCTGGTCGAGCGAAAATTGAGTCTGCAAACTGTATTCAGAAACTAAAACAGAACAGCACGCGTCGAAGTTTCGTTTCGAAGGCAGAGTTAGTCGACGTTATTTTGTTTAATTGTTTCATGTTTTTTATATTGCTTTTGTACGAAAAAGGACGATAAAATCTATCGATTTTTTGTTCTTCCAGCGAATAAAGTTCAGTTTGTATTTTCGCAGGAAACGCAGTGTTTGTGGATAAGAATGCTATATACCGCGCGGTGATACAGCGCATGACGAACGATGTAACTCGTGACAAGAAAATCGAAGAGAAATGCACCTGACCCATCGATGCGATCGATCTTTTTGTTTACGTTAATCTATCGCAAGAAAATGCACGCATATGCATTTGCCGGTCCGCCGGTAAAAAAAATAGAGAAGAATTCCAGTAGTTTAGAGGCGTCTGTGATCGATATCGGCCTCGAGCAATTTGTCGAGAAGACAATATCGATGAGGAACCATTATATACACGACAGCCCCGAGCGGTTCCCTGCGAAAGTGCAAAGTAGTCTAGTTCTGCTTATTCCTGTTCCCTTTATCCTGCCACCCTCTCCTCTAATTATCCTCCCCCGTTTTGCTTTCATTCTTTCTGTACCCCTCGCGGCGGTGCGCCGAAATTCCGGGAAATCGCGTGATTAAGCCGCTCATTAGCAATGACGGATTTTGCACGAATACCACGATTTTAGGCTTTCAAAGATAACATTTTGCTATTGAAATTTCCCTGATACTATTACGTGCGCACTGATTTTATGTTATAGCATATCCGATTTCCGGCTGTCGGAAAAATTGCGGTACAAACGAGATGTTGATTCCACCTGCAAAAGTAAGGCGAAAAGGAGGAATTTTCTCGTATTCAGTTTCGTTTATAAAGAAATTGAACTTGGCAAATTTTCGAAATGATTGAAAATGGAAAATGAATATTATACATTCATGGATGTAATTATTATTATTTCGGAAATGATATTAATTGGTGTATTTTGTGCTATTGTTACTTAATACGCGTATTTATCATAATTTCAATGAAGTCTGTAAATTATACATTCTCGTATCACAATATCATGAGGAGTAATAACGGATAATTGTAACGGTGCTAACGCTCACATTTATCGATTTAGCGTATCCATTAGTTAATTAAATTCATGGGAAAGTTGATATTATCAGATTCCTTACTGGAAATATTTTGAAGAATATTTAAGTACATTTTTCTCACAAATAAGAACGATGAAAAAATATCCCCTTTCCTATTTAATTTGGCATGTAGAGTCATCTGGTCGTTTGTACAATCAGATTTTACCGCTTAAAAAATGTTTCAACTTTTTTAATAAATTTGATAGTACATTTGAATTTATGTTTCATTTCGCGACAGTTAAAATATAAAAGTTAACGAGCACGTTGAAATAATAGTTTATTAGATATTTGTATAAATACTAGTGAAAAATGTCAAGTTTGTTTAGAACGTTTTACCCATAATCACTATAAAACGCTGTACTTCACTGCCTCGTCGACTTTCCGGACGGATTGTTGGAAGGAACACGGTTCTTGGAGTAATTTGTCGAGGTGTTTTCCCCGTTTTAAACGTAACGCGTGAAAATTCATTATTCAAACAAGGCAACGTGGGAGTACGTGTGCGTAATACGATTTTCATTCGATCGTCCGGCGATAATGGCTTTCCAAAATTAAAGACGATACCGACGCGACGTAACGCGTGGATTATTAGCGTGTACACATTGTTAGCACCGCGTGTTAATCTGCAAAACTCATTAACTTCGTAATTGAACACCCTACACCGTGTTCTGAAAAACGATCGATGGCATCAATCTTCTGGTTTTGTTCGCGGTGTCCGATCGTTCGCGATCATTCGTCATTTTTGACGCGACAGAAGGGTGTTATTGTTTGAACAGTATCTTTTTTAAAGAAAAATAAATGGATTCGGTGATGTGCACTTTTTTAATTAACCCTCGAATGGATGATAACGTTACTCCGTTGCAGAATACTACTACGGACTAAATTTATATAAATATTCTAACTTAATATACAAAAGCTTATATCGATCTCTGAAATGCAATAATCGTGCGTGTTTTAAAATTGTAATTTTAACTCAAATTGTTACATTCTCGAGTTTCCGCAATCGAAGCTTTTACATTTAAAATGACCGACCAGAAGGGAAAACCGAACACAAAAGGTTAAATTTCCGTATCCCTATACATTAAACGCGTATCAAAAATACCCCGTAATGCAGGGATCAATATATCGCGGTTGAAACTAATCTTCGAACGAGATTTTGTGACCGACACAGCACGAGAAACGAAACGAGACAGCGTCACGTACACAACGCCATTTGCAATTCAACTATACAACTTTAATATTCGTTCCGGTGTATACTGGCAACTTCTGCTTCGGTTACGGAAAGAGGGTCAAAACTAATAGAAATCCTACTAGTTGTAATAATTACAGTTCCACGGATCGCATTTTAACAAGCCTCTTGGATTAATTAATTTTTAGACTTCCCGTAACCGGATATCGTTCCTCTTGACCGCCTTTGCTCTTTGTACGAAATTAGGCTGCTTTCCTCATCTTGTTTTCGTAACGTCTGAGATATACCGCTCTGGAGCATCGTATCAAGAATAATTTTTAGACTTGTACGAGAAGGGCAGTTAGAGGGAGAGATATAGAGTGTCCCGTGAAGTTGTTCTTATTTATCTCCGCGTAACTCTTCCTTGTAGCTTTCGAATGGTCCACTATACCGTCTTGATGACAAGCCGAAAAAATATTTCTTCGCTTAATGGGTCGTTGTCGAGTGCATAAAGTGTCGTGAAGAAAGTTTCTCGCAAAGCTGGATAATGCTGGCGCGGAAAGCTCGCTTGGAGACGTACATTGGATCACGAAACTACTTACACGCTTTATAATTTCTTCGCTCGGAGTTTATACTGTACATATTTCTGAACGTTTCGAATAAACACTTGGCTGCAACGTAGTCTCCTTCCGTTTACGGAGTTTCCAAATTTTTAAATCTCTAATTTATACGGTTCTAACATTGATAATTTAGACAGTCGACGAATAATTGATGCACTTTCCTCTACAGTGCCGTATTCCCGAAGGGATCCTCCAGTTTCTGCATTCGAATACAACTTAGGCTTCCTAGATTAATTATTAATTAAGGAAGAGGTCTTTCTGCGTTCTCCTTAGACTGTTCATAGATTCTCCTAAGAAAAAATGGTTCTCCCATTAAAGTGCTTATAATTTTACTTTCATCGAATTTATACTAAATCGAAGAAAACGAGTGTTCAAGCGTATAAAGTTGTTAGCTGTATGATCATAAATCGATAGACAGGTTGAAAAAGCATCGTTTGCACAAGGTATAGGAAAGTACAGGCCGGTGGTTGAATTTTTCGCATATTTTTCCATGACGTTTCGTCCTGAACTATACGGACAGACGGACGATAGATAATTCGTCAAATAAATACATCGTGTAGCAAAACCTTGCGTCGATTCAATTGGACGTTGTCGAGTAAACGAATGGCGTTTCGATATTTTTATTTTTTTCGTTCCCCGTTGCTGTTATAAAGCGAATAATGGTTATTGGTTTGTTTCGGTCGAGCGTGATGTTCCCTGGAAAATTCCATTTTTTCATAGTGTTCGTGTTTATCTCGCTGTATTTTTGTTTTCTTTTTTTGGAATCTGGTTGCACGCTGATACCGTATCAGTTGACATTTTGAAACTTCAAACACCATTAACTTCGAAGATATCAAGATCCTCTCTAGACAGTTTACTTGTTGTTGGAAGCAGTCACGGTTCAGATTTTTCCATAAGTTTAGCAAAGTTTAAAACGACATTATTTTCCCTCTTCTTAAATATATTCAAACTGTTCGCGTGTTTTCAAAACTAACATGGCTCGCGTTTATGCAAACAGCGATTCGAACGAATAATGTATTAACCACTCTGTAGCTCAATATTGTACATTATCGAGTATTCAATTTGTAATCAATCAATTTCTGTCAAGAATGTCGATGAAACATTTATCTAGTCATTTTCATTAAACTTTAAACTGCAAGTGTGCCATATCCGCTATTTTACAATACTGTTATGTGACAATAGTTCCATCAGACTTTTTACGTGTCCACCGCGTTATCTGGCATGCACGTGCAAACATGACATTACACAAAAGTTTGTTAACTGTATTATAAAAAGTTTTACGTATCTACTTGGAAATATTACACACGAATTGTTCTTTTAACAAAAACCTACTGAAAGGAACTCTATATCAAAAAGTAAACATATTTTAAATAAACATCGAAGGATCACGCGGAGAGAATGTGTAACAGACTCTGTAACATGTCCTGAAAGCGGTAGCTCATAAGATTATTTGCTCTATTACGAAACACGAAGAAAAAGGTACATCCTCCGGGGAACAGGATCCGCACGTTGAAGTTCTGAACGTTTACTTATGAAAATGAAGAACAGTAACGTGACAATGTGATAAATTCGAGGGAGATTGTGATCGAACGTCGTGTGTATTTTCGCGTCCAGCAGAGTGTTTATGGTCGAAGGGTGATCCACGATGATGTATCATCGAGTCGAGGATAATTTACGAGGGTGACCCGTTTGTCGACAGTGTGCAGCGAGAATCCAGGCTTGAGCGGTCGTTACCACGCGGGTTTGTGGAGTGGAAAGCGTTGGTCCTGCTGTCGCTTGACGACACGTTCCGCAGAGGGTTGCGATACTTGCAGCTCCTGGTCCTCGAAACCGTTGAACGCAACGAACCCGTCCTCGACGTCCACTTCGAGCTTCACCTCCGCCACCGGAAGTACCATCGCTACCTCCACCACCGCCGCCATAACCGATCGACCACAGACGACCAACTCCGAGGCCAACAACAATCCCATCGTTCATTCGCAGGCTCGTTCGACAATCGGTATGTACTCGATCTTCCTCCTTTCTTTTCTTTTCTTTACGCTTCTCTTTATCAGATACCGACATACTTTCTTGGTACCGATACTCTTCGTTCAACTCCATCGAGAGGAATCTTACACGATTAAACAATTAACGAGGAAGATTCTTTGCCGCGGGATGGGGATAAAAATTATATTACGGATTCTTAAGTTTCATAACTTTAGGACAGGGAGATTTAGGGATTATGGAGACTTGAAATTTTGGGCTTTCTATGACTTTGAAACTTTGGACGTTAGATCTTGAACTTCGAACTTCAAACTTTGGACATTAGATGCGAATGCTAGGTTTCCTAACTTTGTACGTTGATTGTTGGACGCTGGATATTGAACTTTGGGTTTACTGCAATATCGAGGAAGAAATTTTTGATGCTAATACAATATATTGCCAACTCAAAGAACTTCTCGCGACACCCGCCCTATTGTTGACAATATGAGAGGGTTTTTACATCGTTGTAGAAGCGAGGTACCGTTCAGAGCTGGGAAAGAATGCATGTGGCATCTCCTATTTCCACCTGTCATGCGATCCAATTAGTACTGTAACCGCTTTGGTCAACAATACGATTCGGAGGTAATAATACAAAAGTCTGCGTCCCATTGTAGTCGTTGTAGTTGTTGTAGCACTACAATTAATTCCCGTGTATTCTTTTCAGCTCTAGCGGTACGAATTGCTCCATTTGCCTCAGCCATTTTGTACATATATTTTCTCTAACAAAACGCGTGACGCAGTTTAATCATAAACTTAAGCGTAATATCGAAAAAAAGAAAAGAAAGAGAGAATTAGCAAAACATATTGCATGAAAACGAAACACCGTGCACGCGAGGCAACCAGATGAACCCAGAGAATCAATTTGAATCCATGCATACTCACGAGAGTCGGTGATTAGTCGTGCAAACAATGAAATAATTTGGTCCACGGCTTTGGGTTTCAATGCGTGCATATTTCGGAATCGATGAAAATTAAACGAAGATAAATTAAAAGAGGATAAAGTTGAAAAACATTTTTTAAACCGTCTCCGTAGCTCGAAGCGTACCGTTTGAAATAGAGTCGACAAAAATGCTACTCGTTCCGACTTTCAATTTCGTTGTTCAGCAAGAAATAACAGCGATGGAACGGGGATACATCATTCTTGACATTTTGCTAGGAACGAGCGTGGAATGGTGTCTGTTTGGAAACAGGCAACTTCGAACAAAGGGATCGTGGATCGCGGAGGCAAAAAAAATGATAGGTGGGTGCATACGATGCGACGTCTTTCACCTGTAATTATTCGAGCACGAACGATCCGTCGCTATGTTTCGTGGAAAATCCACGATTCAAAAGGGAACTAACAAACGATACTGCCGGAGAATTCTCTTCTCGATTTCGATTAATGTCCGTTTAATGTAAGTGCTCGTAACGTACAATACTGCAATTTTCAACTTCATCGTCATTTTATTTCATTATAATGCAATCGTGCATCAATTTATCCTTTGCTGCGACTGACATCCATTTTGTATCGATAACTTCGTTATCTTGCTATTCTATGCAAATGAACAGTGTACGTTTTATATAAAAGTTCTTATATTTTACTGCTTCGCAGTTTTACCGACATTTTATTTACGAAAATTGAAAACTTATAGGTCTAACTAAGAAGTAAAACGATTAAGAATATACTACATTCTTAGCTAGACTATTTTTATGCGCAATACTATTTGTAGCTAATTAACTACAAAGATAATATTGACCATAATAGCTAACTGAAGATGAAGCGAACTTATAATTTTGACTATCAGTGTACTTTAAAATCCAGCTTACCATTCAAGAATTAAATATTCTTCGGAAGGGAAACTCGTCAGTTCGTAGACTCTAGGGTCGAATTCGTTGGAACATTTAGATCCAGGTTACAGAGGTACTCGAGCAAGATGGATCCTCGAATCCGTTTGTCTTGGAACGGTACTAGCGTAGGTGGAATACGAAATAATCGGCTAGCAACTGTTTGGACAGCGAAGTTTTCGAGGAAGTTTCGTGGTTCAAGTGGAAAGCGATGGAAAAAGTTGAAGCTCGAGTATTTGATAAACGATCTCTCGTTTCACTGTTCACTGAAATTGCTGTAAAACCGGTAGAAATGCTAATTTGCATGCGTTTTACGTAGACATTTGCAAGGGGGCTAAAGTTTTCTTGGTACACGATGTTTAACACCACGATGAACACGTCATTTTGTATACATCAGTAATTTGTTCTGTAGATCAATTAGAATTCGAAGAACGCAACGATCGATAACACGTGGGTAAACTTTCATTTTTTCATGGCTGCACACTTCTTTTACTTTTTTCTTTCCATTTCGGGTAAATGGTAATAACATTTCTGGTTCTTTGAGAGGCACTTTCGAAGAATTTTTCATTCGCGCGAATGGTCATTTTTTAACAACCTCTGAAAAAGAATATCGGGTTGAAATGGATCATCGCGAGATGCGATTAAATAACACGTGACTACGGATTCGAAACGTTTTTCTTTCTAAATCATACATAAGCCCCATGAAATTTCATTCGAAGCGACGAGGCACGAAAAACGAGCGAGTATAAGCTGATCTCGTCGCTCGTGCCTTTTTGCTCGATATAGATAACGGGGAATCGATCGATATTCGGCAGTAACTCTTTAACCACCCGCATAAAAGCTCGATAAGATTTTATGCAGGCTAATAAACCTTTAAAAAACCATTCTCCCCATAGATTTTAAACGGTGACTGTAAAACGACCGTGTACAACGGACAGAAAACCGTGTTCTTTATTTTTCACGCTGAAGATAACGATGCTGACACGCGACATTATTTGTTATTTATTCTAATTAGGATGAAAATGGTATTATCTTTTAATTATTATAGTTACAGCGGACTCTCGTAATATGATTACATACCTTGTTAGCCAACCGAAAGTTTCAGGTTTTTGAAACTTAGGGAGATTCCAGTATTTAGAAGTTTAGAGCATCAGAGAAATTAGAAAATACTTGAATCCGTATGATCGATACGATCTTGTTTACAGTTGATATAATTATTAATTTAATACCGTACTGCACACGTATCGCAACACGTATTCGCGCAAGACCTCAATTCTCATCAAATATCAGCGCGAGAGATGAAATCGAATGGTTAGCCGATATGTTCGGGTCAGAGTTTGCAATTCAAAGGTGTTCGTCTAATTGGCTAGACGCTGACGGGTCACTACGCACCATATCGCAATTTCTGATTGAAACTCAAAGGCTGGATACATTGATAATGCAATTAAGAGGTTCCGATATCGAACATGTTACAGTCGGCTGGTAACATCTATCTATTAACTGGACATTCATTTCTATGAAGAGGGAACAGAATTTCATTCGAAATTGTTTCACCTACTTTTCAAATATTAACATAAAATTAGTAAGAGGTATCGGCATAAAATATGGTGTACATAAATACTTTGATAGTTTGGTAGTTTTAGTTGGAAGCGTGGAAATTTGAAATTTCTAATGAGTCAATAAATTCGATAGTTGCAAATATTTGTATCTCTCGAAAGTTTTGCAAGCGATACCTGCTACGATATGAAACTCTACCATATAATATAATAATTTGTGGAACAAAGTAATCACAAGGAGAATTCGTAAAGCAAACAGTTGATCGGAGCATTAAATCAATTCGCGTGTCCAGAAAGCGGCTAACATTCGAGTAATCTATATTTAATCTCCATAAAGTACTCGAGAATACTCATTGGAACTTCATGAGCAATTAAAATGCTCTACGTCAAAATCCGCCTTGAAGAGAAACGAAATTACAACTGTAACAAAGGCTCGGCAGCCTGTGGAACTTCTGGTTCGCCAATGGAATTCATTGAAACATTCATTATCAGAGGTGCGACTGATAGACGAACAAATTTGTTCTCTTCGAGAACAAGCCAGGCGTTCCCAGAGCGGGAACGACAAAATATTTGAATCGATTTCGACGAATTAATTCGTGAAAATAATTCGACGAGGACGAAACTATTGTTCGGGACGGAAGGAAGAGTGTTAATTCATCTTGAAGCAGGCTCCCCAGCAATTACGATCAAGTTTTTCTATCGGCTCCTTTCGAAGCCTCGATATCATCCTAATTGCTATCGAACGGTTCGTAATCCATTAGCGGGCAGAGATGGCCTAGATCAGAGGGATGCTTTGCTCTATTTCGCTTCCTGTTCCTCGCATTTCCGACATCCTGTTCTTCAATCGCTGCAGGAACTGCGACTATGGGAATCTGCTGCGTTTATCCACGTTTACGGTACATTTCATGCAGTGCAACATCGTATTTCGAACATTTTTAATGTACAACGCTACCGTGCAATCTCGAGAAACGTATACACTGCGTTTTCCGAATACTCGCCAGTTATTTCAATAATTTTACGGAGAAAAACCGTCCAAGATCAAAATCGCGTTCGAACGGTGTCTATTCGTTAGAGTACCGCAATCTTTTCGAGAGTCCGTATTATATCACCGTGAACAATGCCGATGCAAATCTTCGAACTTTATTCCGATGAATTATCTCCTCATTTATGGGGATTGCTCGTTTTATTCGTGTTTTCGATGCTATTGTAACGCTGCTGTAATTTAGATCGGCAACGAGCGTTTCGGCTTCCAATCGGAAGGATTACGGGAATAATATTTCGAATAACGAGGCGACTGGTTATCGAACGAGCTGCCATTGACCTGATTCTGAATATTCGACCGGAAATGGTGCTCCTATTTGCTGAATTTCAGCTTTTGATTCTCAATTTTGTTGTACGTGTTTCCACGCGACTCTGTTAAATATGATACATTTACCAACTAATTTTAATTGTGACTTACTTCTCGGTATCCATTAATCTCTATACGCTTTTGTTATGAAATTATGTCAAGCGTCAATTCATCTACTATACAATAAACTGTACATTCGGGAAAAGGCAGATAATGTTTTATCTTGAAAATTAAGAAATTATGTTCTAC